GAAAGGTATTAATCCTCTTCCCAGAAAATTCCATATAGGCATACATGCACTAGAGTGTTCGGGATGTCTTAACTTAAAAAATAATTTGGCACAGCCCGCTGAAGGATGAAACCTCAGTTTGATATGAGTGACTACTTGGAGTGTTGCAGGCACTATGCTTGTTCTGGGAATGTAACAATGAGTAGGATGAGCAACCTTAGCATCTGAGTCACTGTGACAAATTGTTAACACGTTTTCAGAAATTACTATATGATTCTTTTTTTTAAAACATTTTTTACTCTCTGAACTGGTTAAAATTTGATCTATATTTACAAATCTTATACAAGCTATAAATGTGATGATTGACAATTTTACGCAAAAATTGCCTGAAAAATATAATTATTGAAACATTAGAGGAGATTAATTTTATAAGTACAGCTCAATAGATTTTGCTAATCCTTTCCATCTTATTTATAACTCTCTTTTGGTCAATAATCTCTAATTTTGATCCATCTTTTGGTTCTGTTTATTCATTTAAATTATATGATTTATAATTATAAAGAAGACATAGGGCATACTGATATAATTTTTATAAATTAGTCTCATTTAAACTCAAAATAAACTGTGAAAATGATCTGGGGGGGTGCTAATTAATTTCTTGAATATCAATGAATGGGTTATCCATGCTTTAATGGGGTTTAAATTTGAACAGTGGCTGAGCTGGGTCTGCCATCCAGAATATCAACACACCTAAAGTCTGTTATTGTACCAGATAGTGTTAATTCCTTTGTATGTTAAAAGGGGTAGTTTTGTTTTTATTTTGTATATTTGTGTGTTTGGTATTTAAGAGTAGATTAAGCATTGTTAAATATGTATACACTTAAGCATACTTATAGACTTAGAGTGTGTGTTTTAGTCCTACTTTGCTCCTTGATTGTAACAGTTTAAATTGGCTTGTCTGTTTTAGCTTATGAAAAGTTGACCCTGGTGCATTTGCCAGCAACAAAAATTTTTTACCTTTGGAAATTTACAGGACACGTGGGCCTTAACTTGGTTTAATCATCTTAATAGTATAGATGGTGCAGGTTTTATATATAGGTAAAAATAGACAAAAATTATTTAGATCAGATCTTTGTGAATCAAAACCATAGCCATTTAACTCTGACTTGGTTAGCAGCATTTTAAGAGATTATTTAAATTGTTAGGAGCTATGATTTCAAATAATTTTATCCAAATAGGAAAATTTTAGAAATCACTGGAATGCTTTATTTAAAGGGAAGTAACTTTCAGATTAAATTTTTAATTGTTGGATTTTAAGAGTTAAAATGGAAACTTCTTAATTATTTTATCAGCTCCTAGATCCTTATAGTATTGATTTTACGAGGGACTAAATGCATTACCTTGTGTGTGGGATTTGTTTACTCTGTATGTATGTAATTACCTCTCCCCCACATTTTCTATCTAATGATCAACAGTTGTTTTAACATATTATTTACATATTATAATTTAATCAGTTTAATTTTTTATATCTTGAGTGAGAGTGTGTTCGTGTATCTTTTGGAAAGTGACAGGGAGATATTCATTTATTTGTTTCTATTTTTATTTTCATCAGCCAGTCTCAGGTTAGTTTGGTTCAATACCCCAAGTGTTTATTAAACACCTATTATTTCCAGAAACAGTTAATATTAGGTATTATCTCATTGAACATTAGTTAACATATTTATTTGCCTTTCTCTTGACTGTGTGGAATCCATTAAAAACTATTAATGACCAGTAAATTAGCAACTGCATTTTTCAAAATTATTTATTTTGTGCTTTACAGTTGAAATATTTTCAAGACTATTATCTTATGCAATATGAACAATTCCATCATTCTAGTTATTAATTTTCTTCACTAATACCATTAGGGGTTCTGCATATGGAGAAGCTGGATTCAAATTCCACTGTGTCTATTTGCTAGCTTTGTGAAATTAGATAAGTTCCCTAACCTCTCTGAGCTTCAGTTCCCTTTGAAAAATGGGGATAATAATACCTACCTTATAGAGTTGTAAGGATTAAATGAAATATGTAGAGGGCTTAGCATCATGTGTATCACATACACAATAAATATTGATTCCTATCCCTTTTTCAAACAGTTTTGTTGTCCTAAGTGTCCCTACTGAGAAGTGCAGCCATTTGTTAAATAAACTCACGTTTAGATGAAAATACAAATTGTTAAGATGAACGGTCTACTAATTTGACTGTTGTTAGACATTAACAGGGGAACTGTACCACTGTCCTTGGTGCTTCAGGAGAAGCCAGCTGATGACAATCGTCCACTTATGACCAGCAATCCTTTCTTCACTATACATGTGAAATCTTTTATGACTGTCGCTCAATGAAATGGCTTCTAACCAAAATCCTTTATTTATAATAGTTCACTGTAGAATATTCAATGCTTCTTGAATAGCAGTATTGGCTCCTAAAAATGTGAAAAAGACATATAAAAATAACCTATAATTATACCAACCAAAGGTAATCACTGTAAATATTTTGGTGCAATTTGTATATATGTTGTAAGAATTTTATTAGGTCATTATATTTTATTCATAATTGTAATTTAAACGGCTGCATAATATTCATTTTAAAAACTAATCTCTTTGGAGGTTTGCATTTTTTCCCTTCTGCTCCAATAAGTAATGTTGGAATGCACATCTTTATATATAAAAACTTTATTTGCATTTATGTTTATTTGCTTAGGATGGTTCTTAGGAGTAGGATTACTGGTCAAATAAAATGAACACCAACATTTGATATATTACGCCAAATTGCTTTCTAGAAAAGTGCCAATTTATACTCCCACTAGCCCCAAATGTGACTATTCTGAGAAAAGAGTGAATTGTTTTTTTGAAAATACAATTTGGCTAGTTGTTAAGTCAGTTGATTAGTGTATAGTTTTTTGCTAATTGATTCTTGTCTAATTGATTCAGTTTGGCACTAATTTAGAAAGTGGCCAAATAACATTCTAGTGACCCATGTGATCTTGCCTGGGATTTTTGAAAAGCTAGCTTTTCATTTAAAAGTAATCTTTAAATTAGTATTAACTGGTGTGCCAACTTGACATTGTCCTATCTTGGTTTTTCTATGTATTATGAGGTCTCTTTGAGGCTAATTTCTATAGCAGTTTTTAGAGGAAAATGAGATTCTTCTAATGTGCAATTAAAGTATTTGCATTATTGGCAGTATACATTATAGGGAAATTTAAGGGTAAAAATCAGCTCATTTTATTTTGTAGTAAAATCAGAAATAGGAAAAATATGCTAAAAGGATAATATCTAATGAGGGAAATGTTCCATGCAGATGTCTGTTTTTCTATTAATTCCTGAAATGACTATATGCTTTTATTTATATGAGTAATTTCACATATACACATGTTACTAGGAATATATCCACTTACAAAAAAGATAAGCACAATATAAATTTAGAATTTTAATAAATTCTGTTCTAAAGGTGGTTTAAATCTTTAGATAATGTAAGATTTGAGATTTCAACACAGATGTAATATCTGTGTATGCTACTTCTGAGAGTTATTTAGATATTTTTCTTGTTTAGCTGCATTTAGTACAGCTTCTGACATAGGGAAATGAGAACTGGGTCCTGTATGGTGGATCTTCTATGAGGCACAGAGAAATGCAGTTTTACTTAGTTGTTTTTGAAGCCTCCATCTAGGCACACTGGCAAACAATTTTATTTTTATTATAGTATGTAGATAACAAGGTCATATTCTCTCAAGCTAACATGAAGGGCATGCGAAAGGAAAAGAGAAAACATAATTTTTGTTTTTGCTGTTGTCTTTAGGGATTTTCATATTTTCTTTGTACATGGGGTACCTTTTCATGTTCATTGTACTACACTGATAGCAATGTCACATTTCTTTAAGTTAACACCAAGTTAGTGAACATGAAAAGCGGAATATTTTGCTTCTATTACTATTGTTCTAGATTTCTCTCCTGTAAATACTTACCTTTTATGGTTATGAGTTATTTCAATATAGAATCGCTTTAGGGAGATGTATTTTGTTTTAAGCCAGATAGGCTGCTAATCTGAATTTGGACCTTTCCCTGGGGCTGGCTACATGGCCGAATGGTTAAGTTCGCCTCTGTTTTGGCACTCCAGGATTTTGCTGGTTCGTATCCTGGGTACGGACCTAGCACAATTCATTGGGCCATGCTGAGGTGGCGTCCTACACATCAGAGGCAGAAGGACCTACAACTAGAATATATAACTGTGTACTGGGGGGGCTTTGGGGAGAAGAAGAAAAAAAAATTGGCAACGGATGTTAGCTCAGGTGCCAATCTTTAAAATAAATAAAACAAACAAACCAACACACAAATAAATAAATAAATTTGAACCTATCCCTTCACCATTGGTAAATATGTTGTGGTACTAATACAGACAAATACAAACAGTTGTTACATTCTGCACTTGTCACATTTTCTATTGAATATATGTCAGTGAAGATACAGCTTTGGTGAGGGGTGAGGAGAGACATATATACAAAAATGATCACCCTTTTGCATTGGTATCGGCATCCTTCTTTCTTGGAACTAAGAAAAGCAAATAGTAAGTCACGCTGCTAGCTATCTGTATTTTACAGTAACCCTATCAGACTAGATAGTACTCTAGACTTGAATGTACAATGACAGAGACAGGGAGTGTGGGTGTGGGGAATTGGACAGATGAAACAGGCAGATACAGAGGAGATTAATGCTCTATTCTTTTGAGTTTTAATTTGTAGAATTAACTTCTCTTTCTCTTAAGTCTTGAACTTAGGGTTGTAATTGGAATTAATTTAAGTGTAGTTACAAAATAATGGAATAAATTATTTAAGACTGGGTATCTTGTCTGTTATTGAGTACATTGATTAGCTCTAAGTCAGTCATCATGTAGTCTCTAAATCTTAATGCGTGCCACTTGTAAATATGCCTGATGTTAAAAAAAAAACCCATTTCTCCTTACTTTGATTTTTCTTTGTTTTCTAGAATTTATGGGCAAATGTGAACTTCACTATGAATTTCTCCTAAAAATTTGATTTACAGTTTACTTTCTCAAGATTCATTTTGAATTACGGAGATCATATTCTACTGTAACCTCTTATGAAAGGATTTCAAAATCAGTAAGTTGACTTTCTGGGGAATTATATTTTGAGAGGTACTTGACTAAAATTAATAGATATTATGTTGGCTACTGCTAATGTACTAGAAATTATTCCTCAAAGAGTCCAGTTGAACACCAAGCCCAGTGTCATTTGGTGAGGAGTGAGGAGAGGCATATATGCACAAACAATTATTTATAAGCCCGATGGGACTGCTTGCCAGTTTTCATGTATTTTAACTTGAATAAGCAGCAGAATCAGCTTAATAAAAAAAGGTAATGCCAGGCTTAGGATTTTAGCAAATATACTTTAGTGGATGTGTCATAATTTTTTTTAATGGAATGTGAGAATAGAAGTCAAAGATGTTGATTGTCTGTTGTAAAACACAGTCCCTATAGTTAATAATATGGCATGTGCAACCCATTTATGATAGAGGAAGCAAAAGAGGCAGAAGAAAAGAGAAGGCAAAAGTGGGTAGATGAGGAGGGAGAGTGGGTGGGATGAAAAAAAGGGAGATTTTTCTCTATTCTGCTGCTCAGGCCTCAACCATCTGAGGCCTGGCCTTCTTCCTTTTGCTTCCATCCTGCAGTTATTAAAAATCTTACTCTAATTCTGGTGCTAATCCAGTTCCTCTAGCCTTTTACCCTTTCCATCCACAAGTGTTCTGTGTTCCCATGGCCAATATAACGTCACTGATCTTACTCCTCATTCCACTGTCAGTCGAGGAAAGCTTACTTGAATATTCAAATCTGCCTACTTACTTAATTCAACAGATTCACTGTCAATGATAATTTAATCTCACTTTATACCGGGCAGTATTCTGGGCTCTGGTGATATAATAGTTAATGAGGTGAAGTCTTTATCCTCATGGAACTTACGTTACAACAGATGAATAAATATGTATTTGATTTGTTATGTGGAAAAAACATCAGATTAAGGGGATAGAGAATAACAGATTATGCTACTTTAGAAAGGGTAGTCAAGGAAGTTTTCTCTGTGGAGGTGATACTTAAGCAGGAATTTGAATGAAGTGAGGGAACAAGCTGTCTGAGTTTCAGCGCAGTGTGTACCTGGCAGCGGGATGAGTCAAGTGCAAAGGCTAATATTTGGTGTGTTCAAGGATCAGCAAGAAGTACAGTGGATGGAGGGGAGAGTGTTAGGAATTGAGGTTAAGAGTTAGGCACAGGCAGATCATGAAAAGGCTGATAGGCCACAGTAAACTCCTTGGATTTTATTCTAAGTGTCATGGCAAGTCAGCACACTTAGAGTGTTGAGAACAGGGAGGCAACGTGGGCTCACTTCTCTCTAGGAATGTTTTCTCAGATGAAAGCAGAGCTGCAAGGTATCAGGAGAATTCTTAGGCACTTACTCAGCTGCATTTATCAATATAAATACCATGATAGGAATGGGAACTGGTTGTTCAGGAACAGCTTGCACTGGGTGACTCTACTGAAGGTCTGTTTTACCTTTGGAAGAGTACCATGATGGAACAGGTGACTGTTTTCCTAGAAAGATTTCATTGAATTGTTCTTTCAGAGGCCAGCAGAAGTAAAGTCAGTGGTGGCTAATTCAGTAAATATTTTTGTGGGCTTGTTATGTGTCAGATACTGTACTAGATGCTTTTGCAAATGTTAGGCTGTGCAGGGATTTGTCCCCATTTTATAGAGTAGAAAACTGAAGCTCAGAAGTCCTGTTGTGCCACAGCTGCTGTAAGTACTTGGTTAATAATCTGAATATTCACACTAAAATAGGCTCTTTGCCTGAATTACTTAGGTGATTGGAACAGTGTAATCTGGGTAATAATCATGTTTAACAGGCAATGTGTTGTTAAATTTCTAAGAATATATTAAAGGGGTGATTAAAAGGCTTGTCTTCTATTTTAAAACACATACTTTCTAATTATTTTCTGGAAATTAAAAGACTATGTGGTCATTTTAGAAAAATTAGAAAATACAAATTTTTTTTGGTGAGGAAAATCGGCCTTGACCTAAAATCTGTTCCAATCTTCCTCTTTTTGCTTGAGGAAGATTGTCCCTGAGCTAACATCTGTGTCAGTCTTCCACTGTTTTGTATGTGGGACACTGCCACAGCGTGGCTCAATGAGTGGTGTGTAGGTCTATGCCCAGGATCCACACTTGCATACCCCAGGCCGCCAAAGCAGAGCATGTGAACTTAATCACTATGCTACTGGGCAGGCCTCTGAAAATACAGTTTTTTATACAGACACACACACACACACACACACACACGCGCACACACACACATTGTGACAACCTCTCTGCTTCTTCCTTGTTAATGCCTCAGACCAACACTTTTCCCAGTGTAAACTAATGGATTCTGGTGGTATTATTATTGTATTTATTTAAATAGTTGCAGAATAAGTGAGTTTTACTCACTTTGTCCAGTGTTACCAATCATTTAGACTTGCTCTAAGATAATTTATTACTTGGAAATGAATTTGGGAAGCTTAGTAAATATGTTTGATAACTCAGTTTGTCTAGTAAAATTGTGACAGAGGTCATCTAAGAGCTTAGGCTGTACTTTGTTGAGTAGTAGTGATTCGAAGTCTCGTGCTATGGTGGCCTATCTGTAGAGCATATTACCAAATCCAACATTTATTTGGCATAATTCATCTGAAGAAAGCAAACAAAATAAAAAGCTCCCCCCTTTCCTTGATAACCGCTTTGCTTACAGCAGGCTGTAGAAGTACATCTCAGTCTACGGCATCACATGTTCAAGGAATATACTTTTTATTTTTTTGTAACAGTTTCTATTTTGAGCCCCTAGTCTGCCCAGGTGGCTGAAATTTTAATGTTAATTGGGGGTTGCTTACCTTTTCCTGGTGTTCTGCTAATTGTTGGGTAGGGGTGGAGGGTCTTACTAGACATCTTCATCTTTCCGCAGTGGTGACATCTGTAGAAATGTTCATTCTTCATCTTGTTTCTCAAGTTAGTTGGTCCTCACGGGTTGCTGCTGACTCATTCCTCATTCCCATCCACAAGGTTTTAGCTGGTAAAAGCAGCTCTTCCTGCAACTTTCATGCTATTGATAATATTGTAATCTTTCTGTGGTCCCCAAACTCCGCTAAGATGTGGAGAATTCCCTGAGACTGCTGCTTGCCTTAGCCTCCTGGGCTGAGTGGGGTTTGGGAAACCCTATGAGGCTAATGCCTGTTTGCCCCTCACATCATCTGTCCAGTTCTGTGGAATCTTCCTGTCTCCCTGAGTCTGTACCTAGGAAATGGGACACAGATTGCCTCTGTTCCCTTGTAAGAACAATGTCTGCATCCATTGTTCCTTTGACTTTTTTTTCCCTCTGTTCCAGGGAATTTTCATCAAGTCTGGAGGGTGAAGAAGTTGTGTTCTTCTTTGTTTTGTTTCATTTTTAAGGTGTTCTCAATCTGTTTTCCATGCCAGATGTTGCAAATCCACAGGCTGAATTTGATCCACGGAAGTGCTTTTTGCTTGGGAAGTATTTCAAAAATTGGGAAAATTCGCATAAAAATCTGAATCTCCAGATTTCTTTTGGGGGAGTGGGTAATGATCTGGCAGCACTGGACTCATATTTCCATATGTGACAATCACCTGGAGCTGCATAGCGGCTCCTTGCAGGGTTTGCTCGCTCCAGTCCCCACATTCCCTTTTGTTTTATATTATACACCTGCCTGGCTTGGGTAAGCCTAAGTTCCAAGTCCTTTCCATTATTCTCAAGGCCCAGGATTTTGAAATTTATAGGTCAGGAAAAAGACCCTTGTTTCTGTTTTCTATTGTCACTGCTTTCCCTGAGGTGAAGTGAAGCTTGAATGGAGGAAGAATCTAAGTACAATAGAGGAAAAAATTGTCTAGTATTTCAAAAATGTTAAACAACTACAGGATGTTATCAGAATTTTATCTTACTAATTTAAAAATATTTTGTCAAGTTGATTTTTTAAATTCAGCTTTATTGAGGTATAAATTACATAAAGTTTACCAATTTTACATGTATAATTCAAATTGTTTTCCAAAGTGATTGTATCATTTTATATTCCCACTAGGAATGTGCGAAAGTTGAATTGCTCCACAGTCTTGTTATCATTGAGTGTTATTAACATTTTAATTTTAGTCACTCTGGTGCTTCGTTGTATCTAGTTACATCTCATTGTGGTTTTAATTTGCATTTTCCTAGTGACTAATGATGTTGAGCATCTTTTCATGTGTTTATTTTCCATTTGTATATTTTTTTGAGAAGTATCTGTTTAAATCTTTTGTCTATTTAAAAAAATTGAGTTGTTTCCTTACTTTGAGTTCTGTGAGCTCTTACGTATTATGGATACAAATACTTTATCAGATAAAACTTTGGTAAGTATTTTCTCCCATTTTCTTTTAAATTTTATTGAGGTCATAATAGTTTATAAAATTGTGAAATTTCAGTTGTACATTATTGTTTGTCTGTCACCGTATATATGTGCTCCTTTACCCATTATGCCCACCCCCAACCCCCTTTCCCTCTGATAACCACTAATCTGTTCTCTTTGTCTATGTATTTGTTTATCTTTCACATATGAGTGAAATCATACACTATTTGTCTTTCTCTGTCTGGCTTATTTTGCTTAATCTAATACTCTCAAGTTCCATCCATGTTGTTGAGAATGGGACCATTTTGTCTTTTTTTATGGCTGAGTAGTATTCCGTTGTATGTATATACATATACACCATATCTTCTTTGTCTATTCATCAGTCGATGGGCACTTGGATTGCTTCCACATTTTGGCTATTGCGAATAATGCTGCAGTGAACATAGGGGTGCATAAGTCTCTTGAAATTGTTGATTTCAAGTTCTTTGGATAAATGCCCAGCAGTGGGATGGCTGGGTTGTATGGTATTTCTAGTTTTAACTTTTTGAGAAATCTCTATACTGTTTTTCATAGTGGCTGCACCAGTTTGCATTCCCATCAGCAGTGTATGAGGGTTCCCTTTTCTCTACATCCTCTCCAACATTTGTTATTTTTTGTCTTGGTGATTATAGCCATTCTAACGGGTGTA